CTCTAGTTGCTATAGGTGTAGAGTTAGGTTATTTATTTGACTTTTTTCTTGTTTCTTGAGGTAACCTGTAATGCTATAAACCTTCCCCTTAGCACTAACTTATGATATTTCAAATTAAAATTGGCTTATCAGGACATAACCCCATCATATAATCCTAAAGTTTGTATAGGACCACAAAAAACTTTGTATAGCCAAAGCCGTCTTGAGGAAGAAGAACAAAGCTGAAGTTATCACTCTCCATGACTTTGAACTATTCTACAAAGCTATAGTAATCAAATCAGTATGATATTGGTACAAAAACAGATACATAAATAAATGGAACAGAATAAAGAGCCCCCACATAAATCCATACACATATGCTCAATTAAATTATGACAAAGGGGGAAGAAATTTACATTGAGGAAAAGTGGGGAGAGACAGTCTCTTAAATAATTGGTGATGGGAAAACTGGACAGCTACAAGGAAGAACATAAAACTAGATTTTTTTCACACCATATACAAAAATAGACTCAAAATAGATTAAAGACTTAAACTTAAGACCAGAAAGTATAAAACTCCTAGAAGAAATAAGAGACAGTACTCTCCTTGACTTTGGTCTTAGCAATTTTTTTTTTATCTTTCTTTTTAAGCAAGGGAAACAAAAGCAAAAAGAATTGAAAGTGAGATGACATCAAACTAAAAAGTCTTTGTACAGTGAAGGAAACCTTAACAAAATGAGAAGGTAACCTAGTGAATGAAAGAAAATATTTGCAAATGAAAAGGCCAATAAAGGATTAACATCCAAACTGTGTAAAGAACTCATACAAATGAAAGTCAAAGTGTTAGTCTCTCAGTTGTGTTCAACTCTTTGCAACCCCATGGATTGTAGCCCACCAGGCTTCTCTCTCCATGGTTTTTCCCAGGCTGGAGTGGGTTGTCATTCCCTTTTCCAGTGATCTTTCTGATCGAGGGATCAAATCTGGGTCTCTCACATTGCAGACAGATTCTTTACTGTCTGAACCACCAGGGAAGCCAAAGAACTCATATAGCTCAATATCAAAAGAACAAGAAAATATAATTTTAGAATAGGCAGAAGTCCTAAATAGGCATTTTTCCACTTTATATATATGTGTGTGTGTATATATATATATACACATATATGGTCTGTGGGCACATGAAAACATATTCAATATCACTAATGCAATCAAAACCACATTGAGATTCACCTGATACCTGTCAGAATGGCTATCATTAAAAAGACACAAAATAATAATTCTTGGCAAAGATATACAGAAAAGGTAACTGTTGTGCACTGTTGGTACATTGTAAATTGGTAACATTTACATTAAGGAAAACAGTATGGAGTTTCCTAAAAAAATTAAAAATAGGACTACCATACAATTTAGGAATTCCACTCCTGGTATTTGCCCCCATGAAAAGGAAAACCCTAACTCAAAGAGATACATACACTTAAGTGTTCATTGCAGCATTATTTCCAGTAGTCATAATATGGGAAATAATTTATGTGTCCATTGACATGTAAATGGATGAAGAATGTATAAGTGGAATATTACTCAATTATAAAAAATTAGGAAATCTTACTACATGCAATAGCATGAATGCACATAGAGAGTATTATCTAAGTGAAATAAGCCAGACAGAGAAAGACAAATACTGTATGTTTTCACATATATGCGGAATCTGAAAAACAAAACAAACAAATGTAACAAAATAGAAACAGACTCATAGATACAGAAAACAAATGAGTGGTTGCCAGAAAGAAAGGAGGTTTGGGGAGAGCAAAATAGGTGAAGGAAATTAAGAGGTACAAACTATGAGTTATAAAATAAATGTCACTGAGATGCAATATATAGCACTGAGAATATAGTCAATAATGTTATAACTTTGTATAATGTATAGTTACAGAAGTATCAAAACACTATGCTGTACATTGAAACTAATATAATATTTTAAGTCAACTATGCTTCAATTTTTCAAAAAGGCAAAATTGTCTAATTTGATTAGCTAGAACTTAAAAAAAAATATCTTTTTGCTGCAATGGTGAATGGTATTGTTTCCTTAATTTCTCTTTCTGTTTTCTCATTGTTAGTGTATAGGAATGCAAGAGATTTCTGTGTGTTAATTTTATATCCTGCAACTTGACTGTATTCATTGATTAGCTCTAGTAATTTTCTGGTAGAGTCTTTAGGGTTTTCTATGTAGAGGATCATGTCATCTGCAAACAGAGAGAGTTTCACTTCTTCTTTTCCTATCTGGATTCCTTTTACTTCTTTTTCTGCCCTGATTGCTGTGCCAAAACTTCCAAAACTATGTTGAATAGTAGTGGTGAGAGTGGGCACCCTTGTCTTGTTCCTGATTTCAGGGGAAATGCTTTCAATTTTTCACCATTGAGGGTGATGCTTGCTGTGGGTTTGTCATATATAGCTTTTATTATGTTGAGGTATGTTCCTTCTATTCCTGCTTTCTGGAGAGTTTTAATCATAAATGGATGTTGAATTTTGTCAAGGGCTTTTTCTGCATCTATTGAGATAATCATATGGTTTTTATCTTTCAATTTGTTAATGTGGTGTATTACATTGATTGATTTGTGGATATTAAAGAATCCTTGCATTCCTGGGATAAAGCCCACTTGGTCATGATGTATGATTTTTTTAATATGTTGTTGGATTCTGTTTGCTAGAATTTTGTTAAGGATTTTTGCATCTATGTTCATCAGTGATATTGGCCTGTAATTTTCTTTTTTTGTGGCATCTTTGTCTGGTTTTGGAATTAGGGTGATGGTGGCCTCATAGAATGAGTTTGGAAGTTTACCTTCTTCTGCAATTTTCTGGAAGAGTTTGAGTAAGATAGGTGTTAGCTCTTCTCTAAATTTTTGGTAGAATTCAGCTGTGAAGCCATCTACAAGTGCTCGGGCCTGGTGCACTGGGAAGACCCAGAGGGATCAGGTGGAGAGGGAGGTGGGAGGGGGGACTGGGATGGGGAATACATGTAAATCCATGGCTAATTCATTTCAATGTATAACAAAAACTACTGTAATGATGTAAAGTAATTAGCCTCCAACTAATAAAAATAAAAAAAGGAAAAAAAATAAGAACAAAGTTGGAAAAAAATATATATCTTTTACATTCTTTCCAGTACATTTAAAACATAATGGAGAATCATAGCTAAAGAATGCTTCTAAGTGATAAGTCAAGGCTTAGGTAGAGAATGATATGATTCATTCATAATTAGTGCTAAGTAGGTCCACATTGAGTTAAATATATCTTCTGTAATTATATTTACTTTAATTTGCCTTACAAACAATCATTTTATGGAAGAAGCCAAATTTTATAGAAATGCAGGTCAGGAAAAATAAGCTACACATGTCCAAAGTGGGATGTGCCCAAATTAACTAGATTTTATTGTATGAATGTCAAAGGAAGAGACTTAAAGAATGTCGGAGACATTCAGGACATTGTCCTAATCCTTTCTTAATGATTCAGGTACTACATCAATCAAGTGATGGATTATTGCACTGACCTATAACACTCTCAGGAATGTATAATACCCTTAGCAAGGAATTACTTTCCTGAAAGTGAGTCACTGACCCCACAGTTTTCAGTGTTCAGAATGTACTCAGGGTCATATAAGGATTAGGTTGAGGCCTAAAAAATCCCCAAGTGACTCATAGTTGGAATTACAACATCAGGCCCATGTTTGCAAGATCTTGGTTATAAATGTACCCCTTGAAAGGTCTCTTTTGGATTTGATAGAATTATAAACCTGGAGTCCCATATTGCTGTAGATTGTCACTCATCTATTCAACAAACAGTGGTTGAGAGCCTCCTATTCTGTTCTAGGCATTATGCATGAACCACCATCCTATTTCTTCTTTAAGACTTAGTTGTCATTATTTCCTCCAATAAACCCTTCCAGATACTCTCCACCCAAATCACCACTCCCTAGTCCTCTTCTAATATTCAAGGAGCATGCTCCTCATGTGTTTCACATTGCTTTATTATCACTTTTCCAGAGCTTGCTATGAAGATACTAATAGGTCTTTGTTATAATTCCCATGCTTTGTTCACAGCATGGCCAAGAGCTGGCTCTGTGTACATGTCTGTTGAATAAATCATAGAATCCTTGCCTTTGAGAAACTCAGTGTGTGTGGGGAAAGAGATAAACAAACAAATAGTTACAGCACAAAGAATAATTCTATATAGAAAATCAAGTGTTATGAACCTCCATATGGTAGGAGAAGTAACTAACTGTCTAAAACTGATGCACAAAAGTGATGTTAGACATGGACCTTGAATAACAAGAAGGAGACAGTTTGAGAGTGAACTTGAGCCAGAAATGCTGACACGTACAAAGGCAGAGACAGGTTTAAGGAGTGGTAAGTGATTTTGGAGAGCTAGAGTTTTAACAGAGATTCTCTAACAGTGGTGTACTTAATAATTACCTTAGAAATTTGATAATAATGCTGGGAGATTGAGAAGATCCCCTGGAGAAGGAAATGAAAACACCCTCCAGAGTTCATGCCTGGAGAATCCCATGGACAGAGGAGCCTGGTGGGTTGCAACCCATGGGGTCTCACATAGTCAGATACACCTGAAGCCACTTAGCATGTACACATGCACACAGAAATTCCCCCTTCTCATGAATATTACCCAACATATTCTACCTACCTGGGCGGGTCCTCTTAACTCCAGTATTGGATTGTGAGCTCCTGATAGGAAGCAACCATGCCTCACACATGTTGGAATGATCTCCAGAGCCCAGCAGTGCAAGAGCATGCCCAGGGATGGATCATTTTACTGACTTGGTAAGAAAATTATTGCTTGTTAGGTAAGATGGCTTATCTTATTTGAGAAAATATATAAAGTCATTTCTATTATATAATACAGGCATTAGGCGATATTTGAAAAACAAGTTTTCTTTCCTGGCCATAGAAACCCACACTTTTATTCATCTTGAGAAAAAGAATGCTGGAAAATAAATAGGAAACCAACTCTCAGAAATAACTAAAGAAGAATACATGAATTTATTACATCAAGATACTGTTATTTAGAAATAGTTAACATGATTGAGAAGGTCAAGGCAAGTGTAATAGTCAGATATTTGGAGGTTTAGTTATAGTGCATCATGCACATGAGGTTAGATGCAGGGAAGAGATCTGTGCGGAACAAGAATGGTCCTGAATGCAGAATGGGGGCCCTTTTGCTTGTGGCTTAGTGGTACCACAGGGTACTAAAGCTGGTGATCATTTAAAACAAGGAAAATTTAAAATGAATGACATGTCCACACTAATGTGATAGTGACTGGTTCATGGTTGATTTCAGCAAAAGGATCCACCACAGCTGGGGCGACAGCAAGTTGTATGGCAGCAGGTGGTTTGGCAACAGACGGGGCGGCAGCAGCCGGACACGCCGCAGCTGGGGCGGCAGGTGGTCTGGCAGCAGACGGGGCGGCAGCAGCTGGACACGCCGCAGTTGGGGCGGCAGGTGGTCTGGCAGCAGACCGGCCGGCAGCAGCTGGACACGCCGCAGCTGGGGCGGCAGGTGTTCTGGCAGCAGACCGGGCGGCAGCAGCTGGACACGCCGCAGCTGGGGCGGCAGGTGGTCTGGCAGCAGACGGGGCGGCAGCAGCTGGACACGCCGCAGCTGGGGCGGCAGGTGGTCTGGCAGCAGACCCGCCGGCAGCAGCTGGACACGCCGCAGCTGGGGCGGCAGGTGGTCTGGCAGCAGACCGGCCGGCAGCAGCTGGACACACTGCAGCTGGGGCGGCAGCAGGTGGTCCTGCAGCAGGTGGTCTGGCAGCAGCTGGGCTGGCAGCAGGTCTCCTGGCAGAGACTTGGGCCACAGCTCTGGTCAGAGCAGACGGAGCCACAACAGGAGCTGACCATGGTGTCAGAGGGTGGAGATTCTAGGTGGGTTAGAGAGTGAGATTCTTGAGTTTGGAAGTCTCATTGCAACATGTCCCCTTTTATATCCACCTGAGGGACTACTGTCACTATGTTAAGGGCTATTTCCTTGTTATTGTTTACCTTAGTAGATAGGCAATTATCATGTTAGTTATTTGTTGAGTAGAATGCATTTTTCCTTTCTCTGTGTTGTGGTTCATCCAATCTAGTCTTTCCTCTTGACTCACATTTCATCTTCTTTCTTATATGTATCATCTGATTTCAAAGACTCTTCATATTCTTCATCTAATTGGTTGTCATATAATACATCATTTAAATGTCAACACTCTGCATCATCCTTAAAGCTGTGTCTCATACCAGCTCTCAAGTGGGGCTTGTTCTCTAAAGACAGTTTGAAAAAAATAAACTGTGAACATACTGGAGTACTTGGAGGCATTTTTCTTTAAAAAGTGGAGAGGCTATTCTAAGACAGAAAACTTATTAACAATAAAGGAAAAGATTAAAAAAATTTAGAGCAGAAAAATTTTAATGTCTTATTAGTCATTTTAAAGCTTTAAACAAAACCAAAAGACTACAAAAGAGCAAGCTGTAAGTAAATAACAAATGGGTTAACCAATATAACCCAAAAGACCTAATTTTCTTAATGCATGCATAGTAAGAAAAAAAAGGCTAACAAGCAAATAGAAAGTTGAGGGAAGGATATTAACACTCATTTCACTGAAAAAGAAATATGAACACCTTTTAAGGTTTTAAAAGATTTTCAGTCTCATTTATAATTTTGAAAATTTTAATTGAACAATTTATCCATTTGTAAACCAAATATTGAACACTTATTATGTCCCAGGTCCTGCTCTAGGCTCTGGGAATAACAACAGTGAATAGTTTGAAATGACACAGAGGGATCGGGTGGAGAGGGAGGTGGGAGGGGGGACCGGGATGGGGAATACATGTAAATCCATGGCTAATTCATTTCAATGTATGACAAAAACCACTGCAATGATGTAGAGTAATTAGCCTCCATCTAATAAAAATAAATGGAAAAAAAATGAAATGACAAATATAAAGTATCTAATTTTTTAAACTCTAATAAGTTGGAGAGCTTAAAAGGAAACAGATATTTTCATATCTTAGGTGTCTAAGCTGGAGTAAATTCTTTATAAAGTAATTCAGCAGTAACTATAAGATTTGATTGAGTAATTTCACTTATAGAAACATATTCAACATATACACATAAGCAGGAGCTCCAGGATATAAACTCAAAATGATCTTTGCAGCATTGTTGGTAAGAATGAAAGTCTGAAATTGAACTGTATTGTGACTATGGAGGAGAATGTCTCTGATGTAGAAAATACACACCAGGGTCCATGTTGCAGAGCATCATTTTGTCATGAAGAACACTTCTTTAGCTATTCTTGCAACTTTTCTATAATTTTTACATTATTTTAATAAGGAAAATGAAGTACACTTTTACAGCAAAACAGACCATCCCTATTCCATATAGACAGACACACCTTGTTTTTTAGACAAAATTTCAGAAAGGAGGGAAGAAGGTAAAAAAGAAAGCAAAACTATATGAACATGTTTGGTTGTGTTGTTTTTCAGTTATTTAAGTCTAATTTCATTGCATTTGGGTAAGAGAGAGAAGTTCGTATTATTCTGCCAAAAGAGTTTTGTTTGTAGTCTATATGTTTGTTAACATACTCGAGATATATAGATATATATATGAAAATTTGTCAGGTATGCATGCTCAGTCATGTCTAACTCCTTTGGTCCTATGAACTATAGCCTGGCAGGCTTCTCTGTCCATGTGATTTCTAAGGCAAGAATACTGCAGTGGGTTGCCATTTCCTTCTCCAGGGGATCTTTCAGACCCAGGGATTGAACCTGCATCTCCTGTGGCTCCTGTTTCAGCAGGCAGATACTTTGCCACTGAGTCACCTGAGAGAGAGCATATGAATATCAATTACATCTAAATTGGTAATGGTTCTGCTCACATTCTCTATTTCCTTGTTTATTTTTCTCCTTCAAATGACCATTCTAAAATAAGGTGTTAAAGTCTCTGCTATAATTGTGGTTTTATAAATTTTCACCAGGTATAATAGTTTTTTGCACTTAGTTTCAACATAGCTTGAAAGCATTTATGATAGCAAGAAAGCTACAATTTATATAGACATAAATTCATATATCAGTAAGAAGTCACAAAGTGAAGACAAGAACACGTGTTAGAAATTTTTATCTAATTGGGCCACAGTTCTACAGTCATTTGTTTGGAGATGGTTGGTGTTCTTTCTGAAGGCAGGAAGACAGCTAGGAAATATCCCTCCTCCTTAAAATGATTATAATGTGTTTTGAGGGAGTAGTTTTAAAGTAATAATTGCATTATAAGAACATAGACACTCTGCTTTCTTCTGATTCACTCCTTCACTTTGTCTTATGTGGTTGTAAACTGTACACTATTCCTTAAATTTTCATACATGACACATTTTATTTCTAAGAATCCATCTTTATACATTACCTGTCTCCAACAGAATGATTTCTCTTTCTCACCAATATCACCAATACACTCTGCCTGACCTGTGTCTGCCTATTGAATCCAAAATTTCATTGTGAGTTATATTGGGATGGGAATTGGGTCACATTTGACTTAGTGCTTCCCCAAAGGACCTTGCAGGGTGGTCCATAATTCAACTGTAGTAAAAAGGAAGCTCTTGTTTTCTCTCAATAAACTTGCAGTCAAGGAGGACAATCTACTTTTGGGGGGAAAGTCATTATTTAGCATTTTCCCTGATACAGGATTTGATTGATATGTAAAATCAGTTTTCTTTGTTCACATGACAGAAATACAAGTTTATCTCCAGTTCATAATCAACACTAAATAAAATAAAGGGCCAAAAATATTTCTGATACCAAGTGTTTATGGACATGTAGTTGTTCCATCACACAGAACTCACTGCAAAGGCCAGGTCATGCACAGCAGTCATGAGATAAGGAGCCTGTCCCCATGAACTAGAGTAGACATTTGATCATCTGCCTGAATGTCAAGGTAACAGGCACAGAACCTGGAGAGTCTCCCCGTGGTACTCAGTTTAAACTGCTTCTTTTAAAGCAGTTTCTTGGTGGCACGATCGATGGGATGGACAAACACAGTGACAGATCAGAGCCAGTCCAGATGCTGTGGACAAAAGAAATGAAAAAAAAAAAAAAAGATGAATACACTGGAATACTGGTGGTTGACTCAGGGCTGGGGTGAGGAATGAAGTTCAACAACAAGAAAATCTGTAATGCTGGGAGACACCAGGTAGTCTGGCAGCAGACTGGGCAGCAGCAACTGGACACTGCACAGCTGGGGACACAGCAACTGGAGTCTCAGCAGCTGGATACACGACAGCTGGGGTGACAGCAGGCAGTCTGGCAGCAGCTGGGCCGGCAGCAGTCCTCCTGGCGGAGACCTTGGCCACAGCCCTGGTCAGAGCAGATGGAGCCGCAACAGGAGCTGACCATGGTGTTAGAGGGTTCTGGGTTTCCAGGAGAGTGAGGTTCTCAAATGGAAGTCTTCTCCCAAATCCTGTTGTATACCCTGATGAGGAGATGTGATCATGTCCAAGATTATTTTCTAGCTGCTGTTTATCATGTTTAAAGGGAAATTATCAGACATTCTGATGCAGCATCTGGTTAGCTTTGGTATTTAAAGAGTATGCTTACATATCTTTATTTAATCATTTATCCCTAAAAAGAAGCATTTGCCTTTCTTTTCTTATTTCATCTTCATCTCATCTACTCTCTCTTATACTTTCCAAAATGTGTTATTTGATACTCTGAACATTATCATTCTTTAGCCTTAAAGACATTTAACTTCTTGTACCCAAAACAGACACACAATCACAATTCTTGCTATTTGGACAATACTTAAATCCAAACATGAATAAACTAATGCACCAAAACTCAGAACTCAATACACTATAGCAAAGTACTGGTGGCAAAATCAGCATATAACACACTCATAACTTATGAAGAAGCTAAGCAATATAACTGGATTTAAGGCACATGACTTCAGATTGTTCAAAATAGAGGTGATCACTTTTCCAAACCAACATCCCAACATCCCAATTACTCGGCCCTATTACAAATTACTTCTAGTTCAAGTTTCAAGCTAGTAAACTTGGAGTTCTCCTTTATTCAAGTGAATCCATGTTGATTCCCACCCTCTAAGAGCCATTCTCAGGACAGAGGCACAGAAGGGAAAGATGATATTCAACCCATCCCACTTCTGCTATGATTCCATTCCGACTCAATGAACAGCAGCAGATTATTAGACCAGATGAACTGGTAATGCTATTACCCATTTACTGGATCTACTAACAGGGGGTTTATATACAACTTTGCCACCAAGATCAGGAAGCCCAGCAGCAGAGGCATCAGAAATCCATAACTGCAGTTAAGCCAGAGCAAATGAAGTATCAGGAACCACAGTGTTGATCAGTGAAATAAATATGCTCTTTCTTTCAAAAGGTTACAAATATGGAAATTGCTAAGTATCCAAAATATTATGCTTTGCTCCACTGAGTCATTGATGTCCCTTTTGTTCCTGCATGTTTCTAATTTATTGACATTTGTATATTTTTATTGGTTTATAACATTGAGTTTTGCTTGTACCATATTCTATTTAGATTCCTGTATACACTACCAAATGATCATCATCAAAGGTATGGTTTCCTTTGCCAACTTACTATCTGGCTAGTGAAAACACCTGCCCATCTTTACCCACTTTGCTGTCCTCCATAGCCTTTCTTTTAAACTGCAATCAAAAGAAAAATATTTTAGTTGTCAAATTAACTGCTTTGAGACTCTTCCCTTTGCCATTAAATAAAGGGAATAAGGAAATAATAAAGATAGCGTCCCCAGAGCAAGTTTGTTATCAGGTCTGTCAGCAGATTTGAAGTTGAGCATGGAAAGATAATGTTTAATATAGTGAGCTCTGTCCCTTGTTTTTAGGAAATGAGATACCAAGTGGAAAAGCTTCCTACTCATAGATTTATCTATCATTGAATTTTGTGTGGCATAAATGAAAGACTTGTTAAAAAGTAACTTGAATTCAGAATGTGTTAAAATATGAGCTGAATTCATCACTTTTGTTTCACCTATCTTGAGGGGTGAATCCCAAAATAAGTAGCTCCAAGAGGAAAATGTAGGTGGGGACAATGGCTCTGAAATCTTCTACAAATTATCTTGAACTGACAGGTGACAAAAGGATGAATTCTGTCTTGAGAAATGATGATTCATGCTTAAATAAGGATAGGGATGTTGATGATTTCTCCTGTTTCTGGAAATAAGTTCCTATGGTTTAATATTAACTAGGAAAATAATCCTGTTTTCAGAAGATTCATAATACTCAGGGAACACTTCCTCACTAGGCAATTTTCCATGGATCATGAAAAATGTTATAAATAATAAGGAAAATTCTGTTCATTGGTCCTAAATTGGGGAACCAGAGTATAAAAGGTCTAGTAGAGAAGAGGTATTCAGATTCTGAGAAATTTGTCTCTGCTCAGAAGCCACCCCTCCACACCTGACACCATGACCCATTCCTGCTGCTCCCCTTGCTGTCAACCTACTTGCTGCAGGACCACCTATTGCAGGACCACCTGCTGCCAGCCCACCTGCTATGAGCCCAGCTGCTGTCAGTCCTGCTGCCCCCCAACTTGCTGTCAAACTACCTGTTGCAGGACCACCTGCTGCAGACCTACTTGTGTGACCACCTGCTGTCAGCCCACCTGTGGTGGGTCCAGCTGCTGCCAGCCTTGCTGTCGCCCTGCCTGCTATCAGACTAGTGAAAACACCTGCTGTAGGACCACCTGCTGCAGACCCACCTGTGTGACCACCTGCTGTCAGCCCACCTGCAGTGGGTCCAGCTGCTGCCAGGCTTGCTGTCACCCTGCCTGCTGTCAGACCACCTGCTGCAGGACCACCTGCCTCAAGCCTACTTGTGTGACCACCTGCTGCCAGCCCACCTGCTGTGAGCCCACCTGCTGCCAGCCCTCCTGCCCCCAAACTTGCCGTCAAACCACTGAAACCACCTGCTGCAAGCCTATTTGTGTGACCACCTGCTGCCAGCCCACCTGCTGTGGATCCAGCAGCTGTGGACAAACCTGCAGTGGGTCCAGGTGCTCTCAGCCTTGCTGCCAGCCAGCTTGCTGTGCACCCGTGTACTGCCATAGAACCTGCTACCACCCCACATGCTGCTGCCTGCCTGGGTGCCAAGACCAGAGCTGTGGATCCAGCTGCTGCCAGCCTTGCAGCCGCCCTGTCTGCTGTCAGACCACCTGCTGCAGGACCACCTGCTGCAAACCTGCTTGTGTGACCACCTGCTGTCAGCCCACGTGCTGTGGGTCCAGCAGTTGTGGACAAACCTGCAGCAGATCCAGCTGCTGCCAGCCTTGCTGCCACGCCATCTGCTGTAGGACCACCTGCTGCCACCCCAGCTGTGTGTCCACCTGCTGCCAACCTTCCTGCTGCTGCTGAAAACCTCACCAAAGAACCACCATCTCACAAATCAACCTTGCTGTTCCTAGGACAAATTCACTTCCAAATGATGCTGAAAGCCAGCAGTCTATTACCACTTTTTTTTGTTATTCATCTACCTATATAAAAGCTTCTGAATCAGCCTGATGGAATGTAGAGGACTTCACCCTGATTCTCCCCTTCCTATCTGTGTGGGTCATGTGCCAACTTCCTGCATCATTATAATGGAGCATCTTGACTTTGACTTTGAAATCTAGATCTTCACCTTCTTGGTACATGTATTTTAGGGAAAAAATCCTCAAGACTTTTTTTTAGTTTCTAATACTTATCTTCATAATCATGTATCTTTTCAATATACCAATTATTTTTGCATCTTACTTTCTTCTTTTCATAATCACTTTGAGTTGTCTCTCTAGGTTCAGGGAATTTTACCTGGATTTCTAAATAAATCTTGTGCCACTATTCATCCCATACTGTGTTTTTTGTTATTATACAGCATCTGGAGGAAGAAACAGCAACTTACTCCAGTAGTTTTTCCTGGGAAATCCCATGGGCTGAGGAACCTGGAGGGTTATAGTCCATGGAGTCGAAAAAGGGTCAGACATGACTTAGCTACTACACAACAACAGTATTCATGATGTAAGGATTTATACACATATGCATTTGATATGTATTATTCATTCTGAGCTCATACAATCCCCCACAAATTATTTCTTCCATTTCTCATGTGAGAAAATCTCCAACTTGATAAACTATCTCAAAGTAAACACATGTCACTATTATCAGGTTAAGAAATAGAACTTAACCCCATCCCTTTCAAATATAACTCTCAATACTACAGAATTGGTCACTTTCCCTTTATATTATGATTGTCACACTCATCCCTGTCATTTTCGGGTAGTTCATTCATTCTTCTTGCTGTATAATCTTTCAGTGATTGAATATGATACATTTTATTTATTTACTATTGATATATATGTGGATTGGTTGCAGTTTGGGGATAGTAAAAGTAATGTTGTTATGAACAGGTCCTTTGCTGCACATATATAAACATTTCTGTTGGATAAATATCTACAAGTAGAACTGCTGGGTCAAAGTGTTTATACTGTTCTCTGTAGAGGTCTTTCCCATTTTTATTATATTTCTTTCTAATTACTTGATAGTTTATGCTACTATAGGGCACAACTTAAAATTTTAATTTCTCAATATTTCTGACATATATAAACATAATTAATTTATGTGTGTTGATATTATAACCAAACTTCCTAATTATTTCTAAATGTTTATCAATAGACGGGCTTTAAAAAAATTTTTTTCCACACATAGTCATATCAACTGCAGTTGACAGGATTTCACCTCTAAAGTTGCATTTACAGACATAAATAGGATTAGAACCAGTTTATACAAAGACACTTTAGAGAGAAAATGTGATATCAAGACTAGCAGAATTTCTTCAAGCTTGAAGAGGATTTGAAAAATGAATGTGTGTTTCTTAAATGGGGATGGGATAGTTGGCCATGGAAGTTCAGAGTCAGGAAAGGCACGCATACAAGGTTTGACAATGCACAGGTGCGAGGGGCCCTGCTCCTGAGTTTTCCAGTCCCTTAGGAAAGACCACGTGTTTGACATGAGTACGTGGGATACTACTCAACATTTTGTTGTTCCTAATACTTATTTTGATTCTTTGTTCTCACAAAAGAAACTTCTAGTTACTACTTGACTTTCCTTTTAGATATTCCTGCACAGAGAAAAGACCGATCTAATAGACTGTCAAAACTATAGTTATTATAGTTATAATTATGATTAATGTGTGTGTGTGCACATGTGTGCTCAGTTGTGTCCAACTCTCTGCAACCCCATGGACTATAGCCTTCTAGCTCCTCTGCCCACGGCATTTTCCAGGCAAGAACACTGGAGTAGATTGCCATTTTCTTCTCCATGGGATCTTCCTGACCCAGGGATTGAACCCATGTATCTTGTGTCTCCTGCATTGGCAGGTGGGTTCTTTACTAGTTAAGCCACCAGGGAAGCCCAATTGTGGTTAATAAATTGGCATATTAGTTTATGGAATAGATAAAATTATTATGCTCAAAGAGAGGGGTATGTGAATCAGAGCAGATTTCTGAGTATGCAAGAATCCATTCAGAGACTTCTTTGGTGCATAATATATTTTGCAGGAAGATACTTAATTCTTTCTACTGGGTCATCACATTCTCAGGTCAAAGAACATTTCTTTAGATGATATTCTTTCTCACACTGGATGCTTACAAATATTTGATGAAGATGAATGCATGAGTGGCTGGACAGCACCTAAGGACCAAAAAAAGCTCCCTACATTCTAAATTGCAGCTATAAAATGCTTTCCATCCAAAAATATTATATCATATATCTATAGTTTGCAGTTTGAGACTATTGAAAAAGTAAAGATGTTAAACTAGTTTAACTAAAAACATTTCTGTATGTCTTTTGATAAATATATAAATAAATATTACATATAAATATATATTTACTTACATAATTTTTATATATTTGCATTTTTGTTGGAAAACACTAATTATAGAATTGCTTATGGAATTTTGTGGTCAAAATGTTTATGCTATTGGATAACCTAAATATATTAATACAATGCAAATATTTACAGACTTAATGAAGAAGTAGACAGGTATATGGTAATAGTTGAGGACATTAATATTCCACTTGAGGACATTAATTTCACCACTGGATAGATCATCCAGACCAAAAAATAAACAGGGGAATATTGGCCTTAAATGACACCATATATAAATCCATCTTAACAGACATATATAGAATATTGCTTTCAAGAGCAACATAATACATATTCTTCTCAAACACACATTTTACATTCTTCAGGATAGATCATATGTTGGCTCACTAAACAAACTCATAATAAGTTTAAAAAGATTGAAACTATAAAAAGTGTACTTGGAAGCCACAGTAGTATCCAACATTAGAAAGAAAACTGGAAAATTCACGGTGTGGAGATTAAATAAAATGCAACTGAACAACCAATGAATCAAAGAAGAAATCGAAAGAGAAATTTTAAAATACCTTGAGACAAATGATAATGGAATTACAGCATACCAGAATTTATGGGGGGCAGAAACAGAAGTTCTAAAAGAGAAGCTCATAGCAATGAATGATTGAGAAACAAAAACATTTCAAATAAACTATCTAAGTTAATACTCAAGGAACTAGATAAAGAAGAACAAAGGAAGTCCAAAGTGAGTAGAAGCAAGGAAATAAAGATCATAGTGGAAATAAATGAAACAGAGACTAAAAAGGGGGAGGGGGAAACCAAGAGCAAAGATCAACAAAACTAAAAGCTGTTTTTATTTTAAAAAAGGTAAGCACACTAAAAATTTTATCTAGGCTCACTAAGAAAAAGAGAAGAGTCAAATTTAATAAAATCAGAAATGAAAGAACATTGCAAACTACAGTGTAAACACTGTAAACTATAATAATATTACATTGGTGAAAGAAATTGAAGAAAATACAAACAAATTTTTTGCTCAGGGGTTAGAATAATTAATATTGTTGAAATACCCTTACTACCTAAAGTAATTTACAGATTCACTGCAATCCCTATTAAAAATCCAATGGCATTTTCACCAAAATAAGAAAAAAAATTATAATATGTGTATGGAAACATAGAAAACTCAGATAACCAAAGCAATCTTGATAAAGAAGAACAAAGCTGGAGACATAATGCTCACTGATGGCAAAGTGTATTACAAAACTATAGTAAATAACACTGTATGGTTTGGCATAAAAACACACATACATAATGGAACAAAATAGAGAGCCCAGACATAAATCCGTACATTCTACAGCCAATTAATTTATAGCAAAGGAACTAGGAATATACAATGGTGAAAAGACAATCTCTTCAATACATGGTGTTGAAAAAACTGACAGCCACTTGCAAAAGAATAAAACTGAACTATTATCTTACACCATACACAAAAATTAACTCAAAATGGACTTCCCTGGTGGTCTAGTGGTCAAGAATCCACCTGCCAGTGCAGGGGACATGGGTTTGATCCCTAGTCTGGGAATATTTCACATGCCTCAGAGCAAATATGCTCACCTGCCACATCTCCTGAAGCCCCTGCACTCTCGAGTCTGTGCTCTGCAAAAAGATGCCACCACAGTGAGAAGCCTGCACACCTCAACTAGAGAGTAGCTCTCACTCACCACAACTAGAGAAAATCTGCACACAGCAATGAAGACCAACACTGGCAAAAAGAAAATAAAACTCAAAATGGATTAAAGATGAATCTGAAACCATAAAATTTCTGGAGGAAACATAGACCTTAACATTGGTCTTGGTGCTTTAAAAAAAAATTTAAAAAGACACTAAAAACAAAGGTAAAAAGTAAAGTGGGACTACATCAAACCAAAAAACAGGAATTCCCTGGTGGTCTACTGAGTGTGACTCTGTGCTTCACAGCCAGGGGCCTGGGTTGAATCCCTGGTCCAGGAATTAAGATTCCAAAAGCCACTTGGTATGGCAAAAAGAAAAAAGCTTCCACACAGTAAAGTGAACAGTGAACAAAATGAAAATGCAGCCTACTGATTGGGGGGAAATACTTGCAAATCATATACATGATAAGGATTGATATTAAAATACATAAAGAACTCTCTTTACCCAATAGCAAAAAAAAAAACAAAAACAATCTGACTGAAAAAAATGGGCAGACGTTCAGAATAGACATTTTTTTTCTTATAAGACATACAGATGGCCAACAGTTACTAGAAAGGTGCTCAACATTACTAAACATCAGGGAAATGCAACTCAAAACCATGATGATTTATTACCTCATGGTTTTGCATGACTATAATCAGAAAGACGAGCTACATCAAGTCTTGGTGAGAATGTGGAGAAAATAAGAACTCTTATGGGCTGTTTGTGGGAGCATAAATTGGTGCAGCCACTATGAGAAAGATTATGCCTGTTCCTCAAAAATTAAAAGAAGAACTACCATCCAATCCAGCAATTCCAATTCTGGGTATTGATCTGAAGAAAATAAAACACTAACTGGGAACAATGTAAGAACCCACATGTTCATTGCAGCATTATTTACGATAGGCAAGATATGGAAACAACAAAAGTGTCCATCAATGGATGAATGAAGAAAATATGTTATGTATTATGCAATGGAATACAATTCAGCAGTAAAATATAAGCTGTTTTCCCATTTGTGACAATAAAAATGTACCTGGAATACTTTATGCTAAGTGAAACAAGTCAGACAGAGAAAGACAAATACTATATAATCTCACTTATATTTGGAATGAAAAAGAACCCCAAAAAACAAAAACCTGAGCTCATAGATGGAGAGGACACATTAATGGTAGCCAGAGTTGGAGTGGGGTGGTGGAGGGTGGGCAAAATGGGTAAAGTGAGTTAAAAGTACAAGCTTCCAGTTATAAATAAACTC